ACTATTACCCAAAAATTGCTCATTATTATTCCATCACGTATCATAAAAGTACAATCAAAAGGAAATTAGTAACGAAACAAATAAAACGTACGCTGTACGATCCTTTCCATGAATATATTTTTCGTTTCGTTTTTAGCGTCGATTCCGCTGCCATTCTATTAACTCTCATTGTTTAGAAATTTCCCGTCGTTAAGTTGCCATCAAACCACGAATTCTTCTTGCATACTCGAAGACCTGCACGCGTCCGTGCACTCTAAGCTATTAAAGGCAACTTATTGATTTTTACTATAGTTGTTCGTGGAACGACCGGACGCCACTGCTGTTTATTCCCCTCGGACGCACGACTATGCCTTATTCCCCGAATATAACCGTTTGTGATATTCCGCCCGCACCCAGCCTGAATTTAAATCAAACCGACAACGTCAACGTCACTGAAATAAAAAACCATGAGAAACCTGAAGAAATCCCAAAAATCCGGTGGTGGAAGGTCGCTAACGAGGAATGTGTGACCATCCGCAGGCTCCGGCCTTTTTCAAAACAACGAATTTATTGTAATTGTCGAGGGGAAATGATGGATTTATTTGTGGCCGGTGTGGGCTAGACGGTGATAATTAACGCAGGATTTTAATTACGGTGAAGAAAATAAAGAGGTTTGATTTTTTTTTCTTCAGTTTTAAGACTACCGGAATAAATGACTGCTTGTTATTATATTCGTACAGGTATACAGGTGACGTCATCATGGTTTGTATGCACGGCTTGATTTACGGTTGTAAACCGTACAATAATTCTTAGAAGTTTTCGGTTCCCATAAAAAAGGAACCAATTTATTTAATTTAAAAAATTGCCGACGAAGCTTGTTATGAGTAGTTCAATGTCAGGTTCGTGCCGCAAGTGTGAAAGAGGATGCTTACTCAAACGCAATAATTTTTATTGTAATATTATACAGGCAATAGACCGCCTATGACTAAAGATATCGATTCTACTACATTCAAATGTAGTGTTACAATGTATGCCTTCATTTTTGACCATTGGAACTGGTCTTTGCTGTCACATGCTTGTCACATGATCACAGTATAACGGAAATGTACTTATAAGATATCGATGTGACGTTGAATCTTTAAATAAGACTAACACTGACGTAAAAAATAATCAGAACAGGACGTGTCACTTTTTTTTTCATTTAAATGGGAGAAACCGCTGATATCATAGATTTATCTACTACAACACAACACAATTTTTTTTTACAATTATTTAGATTGATTTTGTAGAGAATCTGTAATCGTGGATAAAATTTTGCAAGTTGTATAAGGGCTAATGAAATCGTATTATCTACATTTAACTGTGATAAATCGTATCGTTTTGAACAAATTAAAATTTTTTACATCCATATACCCCAAAATTTATTTTTTATACAACAAATTTGTAAAACTGAGATAAATAAATATTATCACAGAAAAGTTTAAATCAGTGCTGTATTTAGCTTATCTTTCAGATAATCATTACATATCCAGTTATAATTATCTTATGTATGTCACAATTTAATTGGAATAATAAAATTTCCGAAATTTATCTTTCAAATAACAATATTAATTAAGATAAACGATAAAAAGTGGTTTCTCATTTCAAGAATGACTGACTACTTGAACTACTCAGAAAGTTTTAGTATTCACTGTACAGAATTAATATATCTATAAATAAATATTTTTTGAAAATTATTTACTTATTAATTTTTGTGATACCGCAGTGTCGAATTTTGACGTAATTTTTAAAAACATAAAATCATCACTTACACATTTCCAAAATAGCATTCGACTTAAGCTCACTCCTTGAGGAACACTACTTGTTTTATTTCACAGAAAATCAGAAACTTGTGTGGACGTTGTGCTACATGTTTTCTAGACACATGGTTGCAGTGGAATGAGGCTTTGATTTTTGCATAAGAAATACCAGAAAAATAATTATTGTTGTTTGCGTGAATAATAAAAAACACATATGTGTTGGAAGATGAATAGTACCTAACATAAAACTTTAGTAATAAAATAAATTTAACATGATTATATGATCGTAACAATCCGAAGGCGACAGAACCTTAGTACAATCAATGTGTGTAAGAAGGAGATGTTTGTATAATTTATAAGCAATTATATATTTCTAGTAGATTTAACTATACAAAAATATGGTATTCAAGTACTGTTTTCTTTCAACTATAACTGTAATTTTAAAATATAATTACGACGTGATTTATGTGCTATTTATGTGCTTAGAGAAGAATGCAGAAAACAAATAATAAGTAGTAAGTATTATTGGAACTATTAATGTTCACATATTTAAAGTAAAAAATCTAATACAATATTTCCTGTTCCAAAACTATTATTATTTATTGTTTTTCAATACTATATTGTTAATAGAATATACATTGTGCAGTAGATAAATACAATTAAAATGAAAAATATTTTGTTATAGCGTACATACGTCATTTGTAAGATTCTAAAACAACAAGTGACCTAAGATAGAACCTTGAGGAACATCTCCTAGTCTGCATTTAAATGTCAAAACAAAAATGATTTTCGTAATAAAATGCAGCACGACGAAAATAAATAAAAAATATGGTTTAATAATATTGTAATATTAGTTACAAAACTTATTAGAAACATATAAACTTAAAAACTTAATCACTGGTTTAAAATGAATAGGTTTTACTTTATTTGTTGTGTTTATATACATAAGAACTTGCTATACTGTAGATACCTTTTTTTAAATTTGAGTATTTTTATATTTTCGGGAACAAACATAATTTTTTTAGTAGGTATATCTTACTCAAATGGCAAAAAATGTAGACTGAATCTCGGTATAATGTAAAAATTATGCTTAAATTTGATAAGATTTTTATATTTTGTACCTACAGAAGTAATCAAAGATAAGCTATTGAAATATTGCTTCATAAGAAGACACATAGGTATTTGTTTTTAATATTTCAGGTTGGACACATGAATGTAACACATTTTTTATTTAAAAATTAAAACGTCGTCCATTAATTCCAATTTTCATTGCGTTTATTTTCTATCCTCATAGTCATCAACAGATAAACATATTATTTTTAACAATTTCTGCTGAAAATTTTTCCCAACGACATTTGTCCTTTCAACTCAGTCTGAATAATGAAAAAACATAAGTGACCATCCAAAAACAATTTTGATTTACTTTTAATAACATTTTAATTGAAAATAGTTAAGTGTAAGTCGTTAACATAAGCAAAATTTATTTTACAAAATAAAATGAACCATTAGCAACAAATCGTTATAAAATAGTCAATTTACATTTAATTTTGTGCTAGTATTTTTTATTGGCCTTTTCAAAAAGTGTGAGCAAAGCTGATTTGAAGCAAATCATAAAATTCCACCACTGACTGGTTAAAAATATTAAGGTTATGTTGACGTATAAAAAATTATGGGGTGATGATGTGAAAATTTTCACAGTACATACATTATGGAAAAGTTGTCCAAAGAATATTTGTATAAATAAGATTTTCCAAAAATAAAAATAAGAAACAATTATCCAGACATTAATAAAAATACGATCAAAGACAACGATGGATTTTTAAAGTTTGTTTTTGATCATTTTCAAAACTTTCAAATTAACTGTAGGTAATACGAAAATTCTATCAAAGACAAATCTTCAAAAAACGATGGCTGTCTTTGATCATGTTTTTATTGCTCTCTCGGTATAACAACAATAAAATCAAATTATATATTTCTTGTTATCAATTCTTAAATAAAATTCATCAAAAATTCTTGTACAGAAACAGTTACTTTATAATAATGCTGAAGCCTTCAAAATTTAATTTTGAAAAAATATTTGAATTCTCCATTAAATTAAAAAAAAATCCTGTTACATAATATAATGTTAAAATAATATTTTGAGAAATTTGGAAAATAAACTACTTTAAATTTCATAATGATTTCAGCTATATAGGTACCTATGCAGTATGTAAATATTTTTTAAATATTTTAAAAACTTTCTTAAAGTAGGAGAATTAAGAGCTAAACGACTTCTAAATATTTTATTCTTATTTCTTTGGTGTTTTAATAGATGCAAACATTTCTTGACATTTGTCACAAATTAAAATCTATATTTTGAGATAAACGATATTAAAGCAAGATTTATAAAATTTCTAGAATTTTTATTATTCAGAATTTTTAATGACACCATATTAACACAGCATTATACGTCATACATTAGCTACAACATAAATAGTAGAAATTTACTTCATAATTTCAAAAATAATAGTCCTCAAATCTTTAAAAAAAATGTCCAGAGACTGTGTCATACTGTCTTATTTGTTTCTACAAATTTTGACAAGGTAAGATTAAACTGTCAAATCAAATTAGATCTTTTCTTTTGCTCAGAAGCAGTAATTTTTGTAACTCATTCCACACGGTTACAGATTACAAATTTAGATTTAAAAAAATTGTTTAATTCGAGCATTTTGAATCAAATTAAGCAAAATCACTTACGACGTTTTGTGGTTAGAATAAACCTCGGGTTTGCTTCCCTTCGAAAATAGGTACACGTAATATTTTCACTAAATTATAATGTTGTAACCCATTAGGTCTCTTGATTATAAGCTTGTGGTTTCAGAAATTTGCTAAAGCCGCAAATCAGGCGAAAATTTTTACTCTCCACGTCCTTCTGAACTTAACTTCTTTAATTGAAACATCAACAAAATTACGAACAACCCAAAATGTGGTTTTCTACAAATTTTCCTAATTATTCATATTTTTTCAGATACCTATTGGGTTTTCGAAAAAATGTATTTTAGTGCATTTAACTGGAAAACCAAGGGAAAGGTTAAATTAGGTATACCCCTAGCAAGGTTGCAGTTACGTTCCCAACATAGGGGAATTAAGATGTTCGGGGTTCACCCTCAAAGATTAAATAATCAAAAAAAGTTAATAAAACATCCCGAAAAAACTTCCGCCCATTATCTAGTTTTTTCTTACCATGACTGGCGACGGTCCCATACGGCGAATGCATGCTTTGGTGGTAGTACCTTGCGGCCCTTTGCGTGCCCGACGGGTCCAAGAAAAAAGCTCCCATGTGTTCGGCAACACTCGTATTTATGTCCGGATTGCCACTTTCGATAGTCCCTTGTCCCGGACTGGCCGAAGTACCCGTCCTGGGCGATTCGTACCATCGGCCGACCGCCGCAGACTCGTTCGTCATCTCCATAATCATGGGTTACAACAGTTTATCAACACTCTCACACGCGAACAAAAATAAATAAAGAATAAAAAAACGCAAAAGAAAACGAAAAATCCGTGTCTTCTCCAACTGTTCAATTGCAACGCACCGTGGCGGTCGTCATAGCAGCGGCGTTCGTCAATTTGTTTTGGGCCGACGGTCGCAGCCAACTCGATCCAGGCCGCGCTCTATCTGCAACGAAAAAATTTATCAGAAGCGGGATTTTGCGAGCGATATCGAGATGTAGACGTCATATCGGGCAGTGATTTTTATGGTTATCTCGAGGGTTCTCGACATTTTTTGTAGCGGTGGAGTCATGTCAATGGTTGATTAGAGGAGGAAAATGTGCGCGGGTTATCGGTTGAGAGAAAAGGTGTCAAAAATGACGTCAACTGAATTTAATGTAAACAAGGTGTTAATGATTTGCAAGTTAAAATTTGATTTTTAGGAGAGAGTTCAATCACCGATGAAGACACAAACCCTATTTTGAAAGTGACTGGAAGCTGGGTTCATTCTTGTCAATTATTTGCCACTGTATTTCGTAAATGACTACTGTAATGAGATAAGCACGAGACGCTAATGGTTAAAATTACATTATCTGTATTATTTATCCCCGAATCTGAATAATTAATTGACTGGTCGGATTTACATATTATCTTTTTTTACATAATCTTGCGATAGATAAATTGTCAATTAATAATCTAATTAGTAATTAAGCCCCAATCGTATAATCTCGCCTCAAAATTTCATAATAGCCATTTTTCCCAATTTTGCGCCTAAGCAAACAAATGTCCGAAGCTTGCAAATATTTGTTTGTCGTCAAACAAATTAAATTTGGGTTAAACCTTGCAATCTATGTTGACATTGATCTTATCGTCTAATTTCGAGTGTCCCTTTAATTTTTCCAACTTCTTATCAATCGAATGATACATTTAAACTAATTACGTCGGCGATAAGATCCTATCTTGACACAAAAATATTTCAACCATCAAGTGCCCCCCCGCTGTTTATTTTAAGTGGTCACGTATAATGTTTTCGGCAATTTTTCCCCCAGCCTCAATTTTGACAACTTGTCATTCTTGCTTCGGTACTTACATTCAGAATCAAACAATCCTAAGGTTGTCATGCACTCCCACACACTCACAGAATCACAGTCAGCCGGGTTTCGAACCGACACTATTTGTCAAAACAACGGTGTCATTGTTGCAATTTTCTGACAGTAGGTATAGTGACCCGATACTAACACGGCCAACAACACGGTCGCACTAAATGTTGGTATAGGCAGCTTCACAGCGTATCCCCTGGCAACCGAAATCGTGTATTCTCGCCTTTAGTCGGTTATAACCGGCTGGCCATTGGCTGACGTCGACTACGAGGGCGGTCTTTCAACGCGGGGGCGTTCCCACCGATTGGAAGACGTTTTAATTTTGTCCTCTTGTTTGTACCATTATGATCAGCGTATTATTAAAAAAATTCCTACGGTTGGCAAGAATACAAGACGATTTATCTGAGACGGCTCTGGTTTAACGCTTGCTTTTGTTTTCGCGGCGATTCGGGGAAGTATAGAGGTTTTATCGATCGGTTTGGGTGTAATTAAAAATTGACTAGGCGTAGGTGGATGTGTTTGCAATTACAATTGGGAAGTTTGTTTTTGGTTGTAGTAACATTAAAAGTCTTGAGTCCGGTTTAGAGAAGTGGGAGATTGTCCAATGAGATAAAGCGTCTAACAAAACACTACTATTTGACAAAATGGCGACCACAAATCAACTCGCTCCGCCTCTTTAACGATTGTCTGCCCCTTTTTCATGTCCATGTCTGGTATTGGTTCTCTGTTCAATTTCTTTCTTCTTTTTAACTCCAGCTTTAAGCTGATCTGTCTTGTAATTCTTTTGTTTTATAGCTATCACTTGTCTGTGAAATATTGAGAGCTACTGTAATCTAAGGATTTTGCGAATATATTAGGGCAGTGACTGTGGATGCCAATCTGTTTACCTAATGAATTGGAATTTTGTTGTAATAAATCTGATAGAGGGCGTTAAATGGGTCCATAGTTGTAGGTATTATTCCTAGCATTAATAAAATTTCTCACAATAATTACGACGATATTTATCTGGGAAGACTGATGCATGTGGTCAAAAACTTAAATTGATTAAAATGTTTCTTTGAATGCAATTTATATTTATAATCTTTTTTAAAGCTGAAAATATTATCAGGGTATATTTCTGAAAAATCTATTAAACAAAATAAAATGTTAACATTTTAGTTTTAGTTGGCTAAAAACATATCACATAATAATGTTAACATATTTGTTTGTTTAAATTTTTATGGATGACTATAAATAGAATAAAAATACATATTGACTTCGATTACATATGTTTTTATGCTTACTAATACTCTTGTTTGAAAATATAATGTTTTATTAAACAAAAGTTTTAATTTGACGTTTAAAAATTTCATTTCATAAATAGAAAATCGTAGATTAAAACTCGACATCACCTTATATTTTAATTCGTGCTACGGGGTAAAACGTATTTGTATATTAATATACAGGGTGTTTCTTTTATTTGATACAACCCCTGTAACTTTTTTATTCTTAAAGATAAATCTGTAGCTCTTTCAGCAAAAACTATCATTTTCAGATCTATGTGATGGTAACCTCATATTTTTATTATCACTTCCGGTAGAACCGGAAATGACGTCAACTTTGTTTTTTTTATGGAACACTTGGTATATTTTTTCCTAAATGAAAAATTGATTTTTCTAAAAAATAAAAAGCAACCAACATTCCAAAATCAATACTTAAAAAGTTATTCAATAAAATAGACGAAAAATTCATATTTATTAATGACAATCTAGTAGTTTGAAAATTGACACTCATCTCATTTATTCACATAGGTGATTTTTTAAAATGATACAAATTTGCTCAAAGAACTATACCTACCTATCTTTATTTTTAAAAATAAAAAAATTACGAGGGTTGTATCAAATAACAGAAATAGGTATTTACCTAGTATTTATAATACAGGGTCATTATAAAATATTGTAGTCAACTCACCTATGAAAAACAAATGAAATTTTTCTCGTGCCGCTAATCACCAAAATGATTTGAACTGTTTTGAAATGTCACGAACGGCCAAACAAATCTGTCAGATGTGTCAAAAATTGAAATGCCCGGTTCGCGGTTTAATTTCATTTTAAATAGACACGAAAAGACGCCAGACCAGAGCATTAAGGGTTGCAGTGTTATTGAGCATTTGTGAACGCCACTGCAATACATTTCAGTTTCAAAAATTGTAAATTGTCAGAAAAACGTTTAAGGGCTTTGTCATGAATTACACCTTGGAAAGTCGATTGGAGTTGAACAGAATAAATCTGGTCTGTTTTGCAAAGAAGCAATAATTTTTCAAATAATGAAATCCAAAAGTGAGGTTAAGTTTGTCGAAACCAATGAACACGGTAATTATTTAAAAAATTACATTTTTATAGGTACCCTGAAGGTAAAAATTGTGAAAAACCACGTAATGGACAATGGCAGAGCAAGTCTTATCACAGTTAACGAACACTATGAGTACTTAATGAGTTTTTGCAGTACATAATTTTGCCAAAGTTGTGATCCCGCGAAAATTCTGTTTGTAAATTGTAAGGAATCGTCAAAATATTGGTGCAGACATGGTTTGTGACCGGTGCTTTTCTCTTGAAAAAACACAACTGAAAGCCTTGATCTTCATCCCTACAATAGGTGAAAACTGCTATGTCCAAACATTACCTTCAGCTTTGCAGTTTCTAGATATCTGAAACATGCCAGATCTGCATAACATGAATGTCAAAGAGGTTCTACCCAAAACACGCCCACATGGCCATCCTAATATCAAGATTTTTCAAAATTTCTATAACAAAAAAGATGAAAAAACCAATAAAATTTCAGGAGCATAGTGTTAAGAGTTCTGTAGATGATTATGAGATCTCTTGAAACAACAGAATGTTTAATAAAGATTTTTAACTTTCCTAATAGTAAAATTAAAATTATTACTAAACAGTAAGTTGAAGTAAGTTTTAAATTAAGAGAATGCAACTAACACCGAAAGAAAAATGAAAGTTACTGAAAATAAAAAACTTTATTGCAGTACCTACATACACTTTCTACATCTAATTTTGTTTATTGATCACATTCATTTACTTGAAAAAGTATCAGGCCTATGAATCGTCGTCTGGAAACAGCTAACCACACACCAACCTTCATTGCGTGTGATGGTGTTTCTTCAAAAGCGTGAGTATTTTCTATACACCAAATTCTGAAGTTCTGTCAGTTGACATAATAGCCTAACAGATGGAAACCAGGCTTCATCAGAAAAGAACGACAAATCGAGAATCCCGTTATCGTCCATATCAGCTTGAAACCAACTACAATACCCAACGCGGCAAGGAAAATCAGCTGGTTGCAGCTCCTGAACCGACAAAATCTTGTATGGATGCATATGTAACTTCTCTTTTACGATTTTCTGACATGGGCTGTATGGTACTCCGGACAGTAAAGATTTTTGAGAAAGCTTTATTCGGACTTTGTTCCATTCTCATCCTTAAATCTTCAACAACGTCTTCACTAACTTGAGGTCTCCCCGTCGGTTTTCACTTAGAAATGCTACCAGTGTCGTTAAATCTGGCCATAATTCGCCATATAGCGTCTTCAAAGATTCTTCATCAATGACAACAGAACATTTCACTAGATACTCGTTTTTAGACGCCTCCACAGAGTACATTCCATCCCCAGCCTCATTTAACACCCCATTACGGTAATAGGCATGATGATTGCGCCAAAGAACTAAAAAAATCATTTGTAACACTGACCATAGTTATTCCTCTCTGTTCATTACCTGAGATTATTCCACAATGATCTGTAGTTTTGATAAAAACTGTTTTTTGAGACACTTATTAAAGTTCTAACAAAGCGGAAGACAGCAAAAATGAAAACAAGACAAGTCAATTAACGCACAAAGTGAGGGAAAACGTACCAGTACAAACGAAAAAATTATTGACATCTGACAGAATTTGATGAAGCGTTGAAACAGTGCAGCCGCTAATGTCAACTAATGTGGCGTTAAAAATAAAAATTCCAATATTAGTGTAATCCTTTCCACAAAACTGAAAAAGGCGGCACAAAATGTCACCAAAATCATGGCCTTCTTCGACTACAATATTTTATAATGACCCTGTAGAATTATAATATAATTGCCTGAACAACTAACATACCGTTCTTATTGGTTAGAAAAACCCTGTCTCGAAGCCTGTTTGACAGCAGAACTCTAAAATCGCAGCTCTAAGTTTGGTGGATTGATAGAGTTAGTTATTCTTGATGTATATTTGCCACGGTTAGGTGGATGTGCGTGTATTTGTGGCTGTGGTGATTTTGGCTTGTTTTAATCAATTGAAACATAACTTTCTTTTTATTATTTTATTAAAATTAGTCTTTTTCGGGACGTTTTCGTGTCTTTCTTGATTTTACGAGGGTAATTTTTTAAATATATTTTTTTTAACTACGAATTTAAAATTTGGGAACTTAAAAGTTAAAAACCTAATTAATTATTATCTACCTGCTTTTTTAACCATACCCATAGGGTAAATGTGTACAAGAGTGCGCATATGTATAAGAGTACGCACTGATGATTTCTGGTTATTAGTGCCATCTGGGTAAGATGTAGTTATACCATTCAGAATTTAATGCTAAACCTGAGATAAAGGTGCAAAAGTGACCTGAATATAGTTTATAGTTTGGTCGTACTGACGATTTTATGTTCACACGTTGTGTGGATGTAATTTTTACCGCTCATAGTTTTAGTTTTTTGTAAGGTACGTACCAGTTCTTTTATTTTACAGTAATAATTTTCATTAGTTGTAACTTTTAACGTGTCGTTATACACTAACAGTTTTACACTTTCTGTCCGTCAAAAGCTTTTAACTTTGAAAACATTAGGTTATGTACAAATGTACAAGAGTGCGCAGCGAGGTATTGTATAAGAGTGAGCATTGCTTGCAATACGTAGTCTAATAGTCTTGGAGATACATATCATACGATAATGAATTATTTAACTCTACTACTTTGTGCTGCTTCTCAAGTTGTGTGGTGGTGGTTATGGTGATTTTTTTTTTATTTTTACTTCCTGAGCGTGTTGTAATCGAGTCCGTCGATCGACTCTCTATTTTTACGTTTTCTCGTCTTTTCAAGACCCCTAGAGTACGAAGAAATAGGTCTCCCGTT